CGCTGTCTTCCTGCTTCTGGTATCATTCTGGGAGGCTGAGGCAAGAGGATCGTAAGTTCAAGACAGAAAACAGGCAGGATCTATTGCCAAAGGAGCACAAGAAATGAGACCTTTTCAAAGACCAGTCTGCTAGAAGACATGGAGAAGAACTTTCAGACTTGTGGCAGCAGTGCTAAGGATACAGATTCCCCAGAAATTCAGTGAATAGGCTAGAGAAATTCAGATGCGGCAAATGCACTTCCTGGACCTAAATTTTGAGAACATTGGTATATCTTTTAAATTTTTTTTCTTTGTAGGAGATAGGACCTCACTATGGAGTCCAGGCCAGACTCCAGCTCTCTGTGTAGCACAGATGGCCTCAAATTCAGTCACAGCCCCAAGCTCCTGCCTCAGCCCCAAGCACTAAGATTACAGGTGTGAACCACTATACTGAGTTTAGTGCACCTTACCTTATAAAGTAACAAAAGCCTCAAAGCACAAAGTGCTCACTCTAAGTTTCTTTGCTATTCATTCTTTTACATTCCTAAACAGACTACATAATGAGAGACACGAAATTGTTTTACACCGCCTATTTTCTAAGGACCCTGCAAACTCTAGAAAAATCCATGGCCATTAAATTAAATTAAAACCATGCCAGGATAATATTATCTTACTTTTTCTGCCAAATGTCCTTAATTCAAAACATTAGTACTGCAAAATAAACAAATGAACAACCCAGATGATACATACCTGTAATTCCAGCACTCAGGAGGCTTAGGCAGGAAGACCTCTGTGAGTTCAAAGCAAGTGTGATTACATAGTGAGTTTAAGGCCGACCTGAACTGCACAGAGAGACCCTGCTCAAAAAACCAGTAAGTAAGTAAGTAAGTAAGTAAGTAAGTAAAATAGGAACCGGAGCAGGTCATCCTTTGGGAACTTAAACAACTTAAAGAACTTAAACAACTAATGCTAAGATGCTACAGAGCTATATGTGGGGTGCTTTAGGAGCCCGGGCTGCTGACATGAGAGCTGGGATTTTGACAGGGACAATCAGATGAAGAGGCGAACTCAAAACTGTCAGAATAGCTGGGTAAGGTGGGCCACACCTGTAACCCCAGCCCTGTGGGAGACTGAGGCAGGAAGATGGCAAGTTTGAGCCCGACCTGGCCAGTTAGTGACTTTGCAAGACTCTGTCTGAAAATAAAAAGTTACTTTTAAAAAATCTGTTTAAGAGAGCTGGGGACACAGTGCAGTGTGGAGGTCTTAGGTTCAATTCCTAGTTCTGAAGGGGTGGGGGGCTCAGGAACAAGTGACGAGATGTGTAAGAGAGGCTGCTGGGAGATGGTGGACCCGAGCTGGCTGAGGCTTAGAGTGTGGTGCTGGGGTCCTGTAACCCAGCTGGGAGGCAGGCAGAGTCGGCCTGGTGTGTGGGACGGAGGTGGAGACGTGACCCGTCCCTCAGGGCTGGCTGACAGGAGCTGCTCTACAGGGCAGGACCTCAGGAATGGCTGAAACTGGTGTACAGTAGCACACCCATGTGCAATGCACACACACACACACTCACAGCAGGATGGCTGGTATTCCTGGGACCTGGGACAATAAGTGCAGTTTCCAGAAAACAACCAAAAGATAAGATCTGAGCCAGGCCGCAGCTTCCTGACACCGACTACAGTGCCATCCATGTGTAGATGACTCCTGGGCCTTGCTGTCCTGCCCAGGTCACACAGTCCAGAGAAACCCCCACCCACACCACCCCACCCCACCCCACCCCAGGGGGCCCACACCTCACTAAGAACTCACCCCCCACCCCCACCCCAGCCAGCACCACCCTTAGGAGCCCTCAGCACTAGGACACCTGTCCAGGGTGCTCTTGGTCCCTCAGCCACCCCACTGGGTGCTGTCTGCCCATCCCTAGGGGCAGTGACATCTCTGCTGATGTCCTAGGAGGGATGGGGTTACATTGGGCAGAGGGGAGAGAGGTCCAGGGCCACAGGGAGTCCAAGAGAGTTTGGGACAAAGAAGGCTTTGAAAAACCAGTAAAGTGGGCATGTCAGCACATGCCTGTAATCCCAGCTGAGGCAGGAGGATCACTGCAAATTCAAGGTCAAGCTGGGCTATGTAGTGAAACCCTTTCAGAGAAAACAAAACGAAAGAGCCAGGTGTGGTGGCGCACGCCTATAATCCCAGCACTCAGAAGGCTGAGGCAGGAGGATCATTGAGAGTTCTGAGACCAGCCTGGGCTACAAAGGAAGCTCAAGGTCAGCCTGAACTGCACAGCCAGACCTTATGTCAAAAACAAAACAAAAAAAGGTACACTTACTGGGTATAATGATACAGATCTCTATTCCTAGGGCTCTGGGAGGCTGAGCCAGGAGGATTGCACATTTGAACCCGGCCCAGACATTTAGTGAGATTCTTTTTAAAAATAATTTAAAAATGGGCCAAGGATATGGCTCAGTGCAAAGGCCCTGTGCTATATCCCCAGTGCCACCAAAACAAAAAGAAAAGAGAAAAATGAAAAAAGGAAAGACAGGTGCACTAACTGTTCACAGTCACCCTTGCCCCGCGTGGTCTGTCTGCTGTCCCCACGCTGAGTGTGGTAACCGCCGCTGTCAGAGCCCCCGCCAGCCTCAGAGTCAGGCGATTCCTGGCTAGGTTTGAGCAAAGGACCAGAAGAAGCAAGGGGTGCGCTTTCTCCCCATGCTTGCTGCCCTCTTCTCCGAACTGAGCTACACAAGGGCCCATTTTTACAACCCGCTGCTTTTGGAGTACTGGGGACCAAAGCCCAGGGAGCCCTGCCACTCAGCTCCATCCTAGTCTTTGTATTTTTCGCTTTGAGCCAGGGTATTCCTAAACTGTAGAGGCTGGGCTGGAACTGAAATCCTTCTGCCTCAGCCTCCCATTGAGATGGAATCACAGGCGTTGTCACTGCCACGGCACACGCAGCTCTGCCTGCAATACCAGCAGTGCTGGGAGCCTCCCTGCCCCAGCTCCCACCACGCATGCACCCCTTCAGAGCCACTCTGCTTTATGACTCTGTCTCTTTTTGTGGCACTGGGCCCCAAACCCAGGGCCTCTTGCATGCTGGGTGAGCCCTCCAGCCCTGCTCTCTACCTGGCCCGGGCCTCGGCCCTGCATGTATCTTACAGAACCCGCGACAGGTGTCCTGGCCAAGGGTCACAGCTCAGGCGTGGCCAGCACTTCCCTCTTACAGGCCCCGTGGCCAGCTCTCCACACTAACTCGGTTCTCACAGTCATGCACTGCACAGTTGGAGAAACAGGACCCTCAGGTCACTCGCCAGAGCACAGAGTTCGTGGGGCTAGGCTGGGCTCCTGGCCACATGCTGCCTCCCTGATTCCCTTCTATCTGGGAGTGGAGAAGCAGGTCCATAAGATCTGGGCTAAACAGTACTCACCTTCAGAGGCTGAGGCAGGAGGACCACAGCAAGTTTGAGGCCAGCCTGGAATACACTATGAGACTCTGTCTTGAAAATAAAACAAAATGATATAAAACAAAACAAAATGATATAAAACTTTGCAATCAATCTGCTCCAATTTTGAACCAAATTTGTGTTTCAGGCTGGCTACAAACACAGAAATCTGCCTGTCTCAGCCTCCCCAAAGCGCTAGGATTACAGGCCTGTGCCACCAGCCTGGCTTTTTTCTTAAAGGGATCAGAGAAAAGTTCTAGACTAGTTTCATTCCCTCCAACATCAGTCCCTCTACAAGCGTAGGCTTGCTGTGGGTGCTGGGGCAGGAGTAGGATGGGAACCTCTGGCCCTGGCTCTCTCCTCTGCCACACTGAGATGAGGCCCCACGGGACCAAGAAGTCACCCCCAGCCACTTTCCACAGCACCCGGGGCACCCTGTTGTGCAAGATGCATCTGTCTGTATGTCCATCCACACCTCTACATCGAGCTTCCTGAAGGTAGGGACCTTTTCCTTCCCCTCTGTTTTAAAGTCTATACCTATGTCTAAAATTCTTGAGACAAGCTCACACTACATAGTCAAGAGTCGCCTTAAAACCACTATGTGGCCCAGGCTGGCCTTAAACACGGGGGTGATCCTCCTGCCTCAGCCTCCTGAGTGCTAGACTCACGAGTATGTTCCATCACCACTGGGTCTCTGCAAACTCTCCTGCAGAGTGGGAATGAATGAGAGTGCCTTTCCACAACCCAGGGCGGGGTGTGGCTCAGATTCTGACCCCAGCACCACATACATAGAGCAAAACAAAAGGATAACATGTGGTACCCAAATTCCCATGTGTGCTAACAATGAACCAAGACTCTCTTCCTTAATCTTTGTTTTTTTTTTTTTTTTTTTTTGAGTCAAGGTTTAGTTCAGGTTGGCTTTGAACTCATTACGTAGCCCAGGCTGGCTTCCAACTCGGGGATCCTTCTGCCTCAGCCTCCTGAGTGCTGGTGGGTGCACGCCACCACACCCTCTCGTTCTTTCTCCCAATCCTTACAGGAGAACAGCAGCCATTTACCGTCTCCATCCTCAGAGGACACAGGAGCCTCAGGAGCTGTGACTCGCCCCAGACCCAGGGCACTGTTTAACATGGGCCACCGCTGGCTTCTGGCAGCACCCAAGCTGCCCCAGCCCCCAGCTTTGCCAATGCCTAGGCGTCCCTGGGTAAGGCGCATCTGCGGAGGCCGGAGGTTCCAGGCCACTGATCTGTCCCCAGCCAGGTCAGGGACAGCACAGCTGGCCCCCATTTTATCCCTGCACACAGAAGCCAGGTGCTTCCATGTTTTGCAGCACTGGGGATTGAACTCAGGGCCTTCACACTAAACTACACCCCCAGTCCTTGGCGATTTCTTTCTTTCTCTTACTCTCTTTCTTTTTCTTCCATTTTAGCCGTGGCAGGGTCTCCTTGAGTGGCTAAATTGCCTGGGCTCAAGGTTTTGATCCTCCTGTCTCAGCCTCCCAAGTCCTGAGATTAAAGACATGCACCACCACACCTGGCTGCAATTTCTTTCCTAAAAACGTGTTTTTATTTTTATTTTTTCTCGTGCCAGGGCTTCATGCACAGTGGGCAAGGGCTGCACCACACGACCTCGCCCCTCCCAAGGATGGATGGGGGGACCACAGCGACCTTCAGTCCAGTGGAGCCTAACCTGCCTTCCTCCTGTCAGTGCTTTAGTTCTGAGGAATTTACATTTCGGCAGTGAAGAAAGCCTGGTCACGTGAGCCAGCGTCTGTCTGTCCTCGGGCTTCCCAGCAGCCCCCCTCCAGCCGGTTCTGATAAGGCCAGGCCTGGATGCGATTGCAGCACAGCGGGCCTGCAGGTGGGGCTGACGAAAGACGGGGCTCAGGGTCACCTGCGTGCTGCGCGGAGGGCGCCCGAGCCTGCTTTCTCCCTGGGGGTGTCCGGCCCCTCCGCCCTCCTTATCTAAAGCCAGAGCCAGAGACCACCGTGCACCCCGCCCGCGCCCTGCGGAGGCCCCTCCGGCCTCTCCTGACCCTGAGCTCAGGGGCGGGTGACTGGGCCTCCTGGCGGGGAATTCCTGGTGTCCCTCACCTGCTTCCCGGAGCCCAGACTTTTGCAATAAGGAAGCTCAGCCTCTGGCTCCCTGCTGTCCTGTCCCCCAGTTTCATGCTAGCCGCCCGGGACCAAAGTTCAAGCCTACACTAATGGCATTTCTGTCGCTGATGTGGTTTTTTTTTTTCTATCCCTGAATTGAAAGACACCCAAAATAAAAGTGAAGCAGATTTTCATTATTTAAAATGTAACATGTTTCTAGAGCCGGGTGGGGTGGTGTGCCACGCCTGTAATCCCCAGCAGCTGGGAAGCTGAGGCAGGAGAAGCACCTCGAGTTCAAGGCTAGCCCAAACTGCAGAATAAGACCTTCACTCAGGAAAGCAAACTCGAAAGGGCTAGGCGGTAGCTCAGTGGTGGAGCATTTGTGCGACCAGCACAAGGCCCAGAGTTCAGTCCCTAATTCTGAAGGGTAAATATGGGAGGCAGGACTGAGGCCCTGCACTGAGGGGACAGCTTTAACCTGAATTGTTTTAGAAACGAAAGACTAGCAAGCTGTTACCACCTTAGCACTCTGTGGACCTGACCGGAACCGCAGCCCTGAGGCCAGTTTTATCACCTCAGCAGAGGACACCTCTGAGTCCTACATGACCATGACCAAGAAGCTGCTCAGAGGTGACTCAGGGAGGGTCTGACGGGCCAACCCCATGCAGGTCACCAGCCAGTTTCCTTTCCTTTTTCATGGTGCCGAAGACTGAACCCAGGGTCTTATGCAAGCTACATAAGTGCTCTGCCACTGAGCTGCATCTCAATGGTCCCCTCTACCTGGTATCACATGTATTTCAGTAAAAATGGAAGTGAGGAGAGGTGGTAATGTAATAAAGGTATGTAATCCCAGCCCTATGGGAGGCTGAGGCAGGAGGATTGCACATTGGAGCCCTGCCTGAGCAATTTAGTAATTTGGCAAGACCTCATCTCAAAAATACATTTTAAAAAAAAGGCACCAGGCACAGTGGCCTACGCCCATGAAGGCTAAGGCAGGAAGATTGCCGCCCAAAGTAAATAAATTTTAAAAAGAAAGAAAAACACCCCAAATCTCTATTTTTTCCAAAGTTTCTCACCTCAACATGGTGTCCAAGAGTCAAAGGGACTCTGGCAGCCTGGCTCGTTCTCCAGCATGGCAGTGTGGACGACCTCTGACCCCCTTGCCTGACCCTATGTGCATCACCTCATCAAAGCCCTGTAAGTGCTTCTCTGCTCTGCTGGGCCTTTCTGATGGGAAACTGCAGCCCAGTGTCCTGCTTCTCAGCAGCCCCCAGAACTCCTCAATCAGCTCCCCGCCTTTCTGCAGAACTGGGTTCCTCTGACCGGAAGAACAGGACCAGTCTGGGCCTGGCAAATTCCAGTTCCTCTTAAGCTGATCTGTTTTCCTGCACAGGTGGGTACCTGGGGAGCCCTGTTTCAAATGCATCTGCCTGACCTGGCATGGTAGCACACACCTGTAATCCCAGCACTGGGGAAGCTGAGGCAGGTGAATCATCTGGGGTTGAGGCCAGCCTGGGCTACATAGTGAGTTCAGGGCCTGCCTGTACTACATAGAGAGACACTGTCTCAAGAAGAATAAACCAGGGGTGGGACACACAATGTGGGGCTTTAATCCCAGCACACAAACAGCTGAGGTAGGAGGGTCACCAGGAGTTCAAGGCCAGCTTGGGCTATACAGGGAGGCACTGTCTCAACCTCTTTCCCCACCCCAGAAAAACCCCTACATAAATACAAAATGCAGGTGTTGACCCAGAAAGCTTGGGATGGGGCCAGATTGGGACAATGTTTGCCTGTGTTGCCCCTGCCAGGCCCGCCTGGAGCAGCCTCAGCCTCCCGGACAGCCGCAGGCCTGGGCTGTGCCACCATGGTGGCTACAGTCTCTGTGCTGAGCCACCCTCCTGGGACATTGGGAGAGCATGGTGCTGTGTCTGCAGAACTCTGCACCAAGGAACCCAGGTGCCACATTCTGCTCCTCTACGTGTGGCTGGGGATCATCTCAGGAATGATTTTTTTGTGTTTGTTTTACTTTTAGTATTGGAAATTGAACCCAGGAGTGTTCTAACACTGGGACCACATCCCAAGCCCCTTTTATAAAAGTTTTATCTTGACACAGGGTCTGGCTAGATTGCCCCTGGCAAGATATCAACTTGCCATCCTCCTCCTGCCTCAGCCTCCCTGGGTGTCAGGGTTAGCCCCCTGCCCTTGGCACAGCCTAACATCATTAAGCTGCGAGTTTGGAGCAGGGCTGGTGGTTCTGACATCGCTTACCCTCAGTGGGCTGCTGGTGCTTGGAGTCCCAGCCACATATGTTCATTGGCTCAGGGTCACCACTGATCGTATCCCAGGAGGCCACTTATTTTGGTAAAAAAGCAAAAGGATTTGTTCAAAGTCGGCTCTGAGGACATGGAGGACCCATTCTCCCAAAATCACCCTCTCACCATGTAGAGGTGTGTTGAGTCCTCTGCATCGAGGGACCCTGGGGGTGGGGGTGAAACACGAGGAGATGATGGACAGGTACATGCCTTGGATACCTGCTCTGGGGAAGCTGAGGCAGGAAGATTGCCACAAGTTCGAGGCCAGCCTGGGCTCCATAGCAAGACTCTGTTTCAAGCAAACAAACAAACAAAACAAAGACAGGTCCAGGCCTGGCCCAGCCCTCCCTGCCCGGGACGTTTCCTCCCTTGCCCAAGGGAATGAACTTGGGTTTGATGTCCTGCCCCCAGCATCCACATATCCATCATCACAGGGTCACAGGGCTGAGGGGAGGTGGGGTGGCCATCTCTGCCCTGGGCCTGTGGAGTTTGAAGCCCTTGTCTCTAAAGGAAAAAAAAAAATCTATGAAAGTTACACTTGGGTCCTTTGTCTGAGTGCATCTTCTCCCCACCCAGCACAGGAGAGGGGAAAGAGGGTACAGGGGCCGGTCCCCTTCCCCAAAGCTGTCCCTTCGGTTCCTCTTCCCTTCCCAGATTCACCTGAGACCTACTCTTTCCCCTAGAATAGCAATGGGCTGGCTGTCAGGACTAACAGCCTGGAGTCTCTCTGGATCTCTGTGCGCGTGCGCATGCGTGTGTGTGTGTGTGTGTGTGTGTGTGTGTGTGTGTGTGTGTGTGCGTGTGCGTGCGCGTGTGTGTGTGTGATTTTCTGAAGCACGGTCTCCCTGTGTAGTTCAGGTTAGCCTCCAGTTCACCCACACTGACCTCACCCTCAGGAGTGATCCTCCTGCCTCAGCCTCCTGAGTGCTGGGACCACAGGTATATGCAACCATGCCCAGCCTAATGAACACTTTTAAATTACACTGATTCATACAAAAAAGTGTCATGGATTGTTAGCATGCGGTGACAGCCACCTAAGCCCTTCTGTAATGGAGCAAGATTGCCAGCGTCTCTCCCAAGGGTGCCACATGGCTGGCTGTATTACAGAGATTTGGAAATGTGTGGCCTTGGATCCCAGAATACAGTTCATGTCTTTGCTTGCTCAAGTTTTGGTGGCATTGGGCTCTGAACATGATGTTCTAGAACTAAAATATACATATGAGAAAGGAAGATGTGAAATCAGATGCATGATTCCTAGGCTGATTGTGAGGTGACATTCCTGACACAACACTACTTCCATCAAAGAGCAGAAGGATCCTACTGATATTCACACAACCTGTGACTTTGTTTACCTCTCTGCACCCATTTCTTCCTCTGTAAAATGGGGCTTATCCTCTCTTTCATTCTGTTTATCTTTTTCTGTTTAATATCTTTTTTTTCAAATCTATTTTATTTCAAAGAGGAGAAAAATTTTTAAAAAAGCAAAATTTCATTCCAATTCTTTTTAAAAACTTTTAAAATACGTGTTCACAGTACTTAATGATTACATTCATCATGGGGAATTTTGATACATGTTAATAACACATCTTAATTCTTACCCCCTCTCATTTCTATTAAAAGAAAATAAGCCTTGGGAGGCTGAGGCAGGAGGACTGGAGGAGGAGTTGGAAGCCAGCTTGGGTGATCTACTGAGATCCTCTCTCCAAAAAAAGAAGAAACATACAGTGAAACCCAGACCGCCGACACACTTTCTAACCGTGCAGTGTTGTGCAAACTGAAGCCTCGGCCATCAGCAAAAGGAGCCCCCGCATGACCCGCTGTCAGGGCACCCTCCGAGTCCTGCTGCCTGCTGGGCCGCTCTGCGTGCGCCTGTGCCCGTCACAGTGCGCAGACTCATTCGCACGCCAGTCACGTGTCCGCCACTGGGCCCCTGTTGTCCCCTGCCCCGGGCTGCCCAGCTGGTGCACTGGGATACTGAGGTCGCCTTAGCCCTCCTGGGACTCCGGCCACAGCCCAGCCCCACTGTCCAGCGCTGCTTCAAGCCTCCTGCGAACCCCCTCTTCCTCCGGGGGTCTCTGCAGTCTGATCTTCGGATTCTTTTGGTCTGTCTGATGATGCAGCAGCGCCGGGCTTGTAACAACTCGCGCTCCTGCGGGACCAAGCTGCGTCTCTATGCAGGCACATAGCTCCGGGGTTCGCCTCGGAGCCCCGACTCCCGCACTGCTCCTTATCTCGGCCTCTTTGTCTCCTGTTGGGCAGAGCCGGAATCCAGATCTTCTGACTCTGAAATTCAGAATTTTCAAAGCATTTTGTTATCTCGGTAGGTCCCCACAACAACCCAAAGTGGGCACTATTATTATTCCCTCCTTTACTGATTAGGAAAGAGGCTCCCAGAGGGAGAGGTTAATTCCTTTGCCAAAGGTCACCCGGCTGATAAGTGACAGAGAGAACCCTAGAAACCAAGCTCCAAATAAATGCTCTGTTTATCTCAGGGCAGTAATGTTAGCTGGGTGTGGTGATGCATGCCTGCGACCCCAGCACTTAGAAGGCTGAGGCAAGAGCATCTCCAGCTGGGCCACACAGCAAGAGATTGCCAGAAAGAAAGAAAAAGAAAGAAAGAAAGAAAGAAAGAAAGAAAGAAAGAAAGAAAGAAAGAAAGAAGAAAGAGAAAGAGGGAGAAAGAAAGATCAAAATAAGGAGAAAATATGAAAAGTCGAAGGTTAAAAACAAAAAAATAAGGAGAAAAGGAGCATTGAAATTATGTGCAATTTGTTCTATACAGAATTTTTTTCTATAAAAAATTATTTAGCAATTTCATAAACAGTGATTTATAAGCCATTGGCGGGTATGTTATTACATTAGCATGTTGGTAAAGCTCTCCCCAGACAGACTAGGTGTACCTCAGCTGGGACACTAACTACATTTTTTGTTTGGCTGGTTGGAGTTTTTGAGACAGAGTCTGGCTACATAGCCTAGGCTGGTCTCAGATGCATGCGATCCTCCTGCTTCAGCCTCCTGAGCACTGGGACTCCAGGCATGCACCACCACGCTCCCCCGAATAACTAGTTACTAAATACAGGAATGAGCTTTGCAGCCTATCTGCCAAATGATGGCCCAAAGGATTACTCAGAGAGGGGTTCTCTACAGGCTAGGCCCTGGGCGATCCTCCCACAGCACTGTGAGCTCAGCGTTTGCTCCCCTGTGGAAGTGAGAGGAAATGGAGGCTCTGGAAGGAGGCTCTGGAAAGACTGTGATCACACAGCTGATAAGGAGCAGGCAGCCATTCGAATTTGGACTCTGCAGATTTGCAAAGCCTGCTTGAAGCCCTGTCTCCCATGACTCGGTGCAAGGGTGCGGCCTGCGCCAGCCAGAGGGCAGGGTCCCCGCTCTCAGGTTAGGGCCTCTGACTCCTAGCACAGTTCACCCAGGCCTTGCCAGCCTCCTGCCTTGGCAGCAGTGGGTACTCACCTTGCTGCGCTGCGACCCCGCTCAGGACCCCAGCCCAGGGCCATGCTTGTGTATCCCAGCACTCAGGAGGAACCTTGCCAGACTGGGCCACACAGTGAGTTTGAGGCCAGCCTAAAATGCATGGTGAGATCCTGTCTCAAAAAGACAAAAATAAATAATAATAACAATAAAGAAGTACAATTTGAGGCCAAAAGCTTGAAATTTGGAACCATGCAATAGTCCTATATTCTACTGCTATTTTTCTTTGGAGGGGGGGATAGTCTTGTTATATAGTTCAGCCTGGTCCTAAACACACTTTGTAGCTGGGGCAGGCCTCAAACTACAGTAATCCTCCTGCCTCAGCCTCCTGAGTCCTCAGCTGAGGCCCCAGGCACCAGGCTTGCGTCACCATGCCCAGCACCATCCCATAATTTACTCCTCTCTAGATGACCTCAGCACCTGCCAGAACATAAGTGCTGGGTACAGGATGCTGTTAGGGAATCATGACAAAGGGAGGCTCTGTCCGTGTTCAGCATCGACAGGGCTTTTTCCCGAATGTTCTCCATCCGTGGTTGGTGGGACCTGGAGAACTGACTGTACTCGCTGCCTCCACGACCTTCAAAAGTTATCTCTGCCTGGAAGGCTTTGCTCTTTCCCGCGGTGGACGGGAGATTCCGAGGCCTCCCTTCTGCAGTTGCTGCAATGATGACCACAGCACTGATGTCAGCCCGCTCTCTTTCACATGGTCACATAAGGGTCAAGCCGAGCATTCTTCAGTTGTGTTAGAAAAAAGATGTGGGAAGGACTCAGAGAGAAAGGCAGTGGCTGGGCATGGTGCTGCATGCCTGTAATCCCAGCAGTCTGGGAAGCTGAGGCAGGAGGATGACAAGTTCCAGCCCAGCCTGGGCAATGTAGTGACTCAGCATGGAGAGGGGGAGAGGAGAGGAAGAGGAAGGGAAAGACTGCAAGAGAGTCCACCAACGTGGGCTTGCTACAGAGCAATGGGGGTTTATTGCTGTTACTGTTGTTTTCTTTTATTTTCGAGACAGGATCTCAGTATGGAGCCCAGGCTGGCCTGGAACTCATGGCAATCCTCCTGCCTCAGCTTCCTGTTGGGTCTATGGGCGTGTGCCACAACACCCAGCAAGGTTAACATTTTTAACGAGCTAGGTAACTAGATTTCTTAACTGCAAAAGAAATGAGTGTTATGTTATTCCAGTTTTATTTTCTGTATTTTCTGACAGTTTGAAACAAAAACAAGAACCATTAAAGAAAGGTTTGATCTCCCTCTTTCTCTAGCCCAGCTCCCAACACTGAGCCATCTCGCAGAGCCCCCCCTGCCAGCTCCTGAGCCCACTGTGTTAAAAGTTTCCGGAGCACAGGACCTCAGCAGGATCTGAGATGGTGGGGCTGGGGCTGGGGCTGGAAGCCCAGGGCCCGATTCCCAGCTCAGAGGAAGGACTTGGAATTCTGGGGCGGTCCTTGCCTGCATGGCCAGTCACAGGACTGGCCCCAGGCCAGATTGTGAAAGAGGCCGCGTGTCTCTGGGCGCCTCCATTCCTGAACCCCCACCTGTCCTTTCAACATCTGATCCCCCAGGCACAGGCGGGTCACGAGGGACTCTCAAAGTCACCCCGCCCAGCACCGCTTGGTCAACTTAGTCCCAGACCTAAAGGCCTTCCAGAAAGTGGGCTCGGTCCCATTGTGAAAGTCTCCAGGGAGTGGCCAAAGAAAGGCAAAGAAATAGCGAAGGCGTCTGTCAGCTACCTTCACAGGACAGCCAAGGAGTCCATTGTGGGCCCATACTTGCAATCCCAGCACTCTGGGAGGCTGAGGCAGGAACGTTTGCAAGTTCAAGCCCAGCCTGGACAATTTAACAACTTGGCAGGACCCTGACCCTAAATTTTAAAAAAAAGGATTTGGAGTGTAACTATAGCTCTGCAAAGGCCCTGGTTGTTATTGCCAGTAACCCTACACACACACACACACAGGGCTCCAACACTCTCACACCCCCATCTGGGCCCTGGAGCACAGAGACTGCTGGGCTCAGAGCCCACGGCAACCTCCGGAAGGAGCACGCTCTGCAGGCACCAGGCAGGCAGCCCACGAGAATGGAATGACTTCCTGCCTTCCCAGCCAGTCCTGGGTGACGCTGAGGACGCTGCTCCAGCCTGCGCTAGGCCCAGGGAGTGCGCAGGGCCTTGAGAACTATGAGTAAACAGGGTGACAAGGGTGACATTACACCCATATGGGGGAGTGGGATGCTGCGCACCCTGGAAGGATGGAGTGGGCACTCGGGCCAGGAATGGGAAGGGTACTGCAATCTGCCACTGTGGCTCAGGGGACAGTCCTTTGGAAAGTGTCCTGTCATCCCAGCACATGGAAGGCTGAGGCCTGGGCTCCTGTGAGTTCCGGGCCAGCAAGCAGCTTTTGGGCTCTTGGGGCCATCCTGGGAGTCATATGTGCTGTGGACTGCCGACGGCCAGGTGGGCCGAGGCCATCCTCTTCGCTGTTCCTGCTGCGTATTTATTTCCCGGGGTGCTGAGGACCTGACCCAAGGCCTCCTGTGTGCTAGACTAGTGTCTGTCTGAACCCCAGCCCCAGCCCTGCCTGTGCCTGGAGAAGCTGGCTGGCTGCAAGGCAGGTGGCCCGTGGCCCCAGCTGCAGGCTTAGGGATCTAGGCTGTGGCTCCATTGGTGGCTCTCTGCCTGGAGCCTGGGTCACTGTGTGCCTGGCAAATGCAGGGATGAGTTAGTGATCCCACAGTCCAGCACTGTGTGGGGCTCATTTCTGAGCACACACACAGGGCTCCCCACACTTGCCCTGAATTGGACAAGCCAGCGCCTGCTCACCATTCCCAGCCTCCCCTGAGCCAAGAAAGGCAGCAAAGTGCAATGCAGACTTTTGGGAGCTGCTTCCTGGATAGGACAGTGAGGGCAGAAGGCACCAGGCCCAGCATGGAGGATGAAGCAAGTGGCCGTCTCTGGGAACCAGTGCTCCCTCTGCATCCTGCTTTGGTTTCTGAGACTCGCTATGTAATTCGGGCCACTTTGGATGCCTGACGCAGTTCTCCTGCTTCAGCCTCCCAAAGGCTGTGGTTACAGGCCTGCCCCATCCTTCTCGGCTTCCTGCTGCAGCCCGGAAGGCCTCTGTGCCCTCTTCCCACACACAGTGCAGTAGGGACAGAGGGCTAGAAGTTCACCTTGTTCCCACAAAGCCAGGCAGGAGGGCTCAAAGCTCCCATATTGCCTGGTCCCTTAGGTCACACTCAGGGAGCCATGTATCACTTGGTCTGGGAAAAGGCAGACGGACAAGCAGAGTGACAAGCAGAGGGGACAGGGCCCTTGAGGAGGGTGGCAGGGTGTCTTGGCCAGGCTCACCACGGTCAGGTGGGGAGCTGGGACCCTTCTGAGTGAGTTGGCTGCATCCACGGGAGGGCAATGTTTTTGCTGCTGGCAGTTGAAAATGAGGGTCTTCCTGCAAACCAGGGTGAAGAAACCTTTATGCTGCAGTTTCCAAGGGGCTTTCCCTGGGCAGCTTCTCAATATTTCATGTGTGTGTTTGAGCCAGGGTCTCAGTATGCAGTTGAGGCTAGCTTTGAGCTCACTTTGTAGCCCAGGCCGGTCTCAAACTCGCAACAACCCTCCTGCCTCAGCCTCCTGAGTTGCTGGGATTACAGGCATGCACCACTACACCCGCCTACTATCTCATCATAAATTTCAGGCTTGCTCACAGCTGTGCTCCAGCTGCCTTCAGAGACTACAGCCTGGACAGGTAGGGTAGGAAGAGAAGGAGCAGGTGGAGAAGGCAGCTCAGCCCTCAGTCACTTGCCACAGGGTCCCCAACCACCCGAGCCAGGCCTGGAGACTGACCGAGAGCAGTCCATAGCTGGGACATCTAATTGTTTAAATCAGAAAGCAACCAGGCTGTTTAAAGGAATGCAGAAGGCAGAGCCCCAGCCCCTCTCCTGAGCACAGTTGGGGGACTGCACCCACCCTGCCTAGTCAGGTCCCCAGCCAGTAAAACTGTTGCACGCCTGGAGTCCCATGTGAGCCTTGCTGGCCCCGTGAAATGCTGGCGACACCCTGAGCATTGTCTCCCACCTTCTGGTCAGGGGCAGGGGAGGCTGGAGGGGCCACCGCTGGGATGGCAGAGGAGTCCCGCACCATGTCCTCCCATGGAGGACATTGGCCCTGCTGCACAGGGGTCTATTGTTTCTTACTGCAGATGGTGAATAACCAGCATCAGCTGGACATGGTGGCGCAGGCCTGTAATCCCAGCACCCCCGAGGCTGAAGCAGGAGGGTCATCATGAGTTTGAGGTCATCCTGGGCTGCATAGTGAGTGGCTGTCTCAAAAACCAGACCAAACCAAACCAAAGCAAACCAAGGCTCAGCTCGGCCCCACCCGGCGCCAATCAGCCTTTCCCGGGCACCACCCTGTGCCTCAGACCCAGTGTCTGAGACCTGCACACCAAGGTCTTCATACTACACTAGGAAAGAAAAAACGCAGATAGGGAAGACAATTGGCCTTGTTTGGAAACTTTCCACTGCGGAGAGGTGGTGACTCCAGGGCAGGGATAGTGTGGGAGGCGGGCTGAAGTCCTACTTGGTGACGAATGAACACACTCAGGGAGGTAGATGTCTGCACACCCAGCACTCAGGAGGCTGAGGCAGGGCCCGCATCAGGAGTCCAAGGCTAGCGTGGGCCACCTAGCAAGACCTTGCCTCAAAAACCAAAAGGAAAACAAACAGGACGGAGAAAAGCATGAGAGCGTCAGACAGTGCGGCCTGCGTGTCAGATGCCCTGCCTGGACGCTGCTCTGTGCCTTCCGTCTAACCCAAGTTGGGAAACTGAGGCAGGTGGCAGGTTCTCTGGTCATGGCTCCTGGACCCCAAGGCCAGCTCTGGAAGCAGCCCTGCCCCGGGGCTCCCAGCAAGGCAGTGTGTGGCAGGAGGGTGGTGGTGGTGACTCAGCCAACACCCGGGCGTGGCCCAAGGCCACAGAGGGCCCCACCCCCACCCAGAGCTGCACCTGGGACTGCAGCATGGCCTCCTGCTGAGCGCCCCGCCTCCCTCAGACCTGGGCTGGAACAGGGTCCTAACAGTAAAAATAGAACAACAATCAGAAGTGGGACTGCCTGATGGCGCCCTGTCCTGGTCTGCAGGGCTCTCCTAGGGTTTACTCTCTTTCAGGGCTCAGGACCTATCCTTTGTTGACTTTGAGTCTGAGTTTCACTGTACATTTCAGGCTGGTTTTGAATTCACTACGGAGCCCAGACTGGCCTTGAACTCCTGATGAGCAGGAAAGAACCATGGTGTCCGGCAGAGTGTGCTCCATGCTGAAGGCCCAGCAGTCCTCATAGGGCAGAATGTCCCTGGCTTGGCACAGCTGAGCCGGGAAACCAGCAAAGCCTGCCTATCCAAATGACCTCAGGCCTACAGCTCTATGCTTATCCAGATGAGAGCAGCCCCTGGAGCCTTCCTGTAAGATATTGGGGCACCTAGAAGAGATTTTAGCTGAAAACGGGCATGGTGGTGCACGTTAGTAAATCCACCTCTTAGGAGCTGAGGCAGGGAGAATCACTGTGAGTTTGAGGCCAGCCTGGGCTCCAGAAAGTTCAAGGCCAATCTGAACTGCAGAGCGAGAGAGACCCTGTCAGCCCCCACCCACAAAATGAAAGAAAGATATAGAATCAAATCCTCGCTTAGGTCTGGCAGAATAGCTGAGGGATACAGCACATACCTGGCATTAGGAGGACCTATGTCTAACCCTCAGCAACATGCACACCCCACAATTCCCTTCCTGCAACACAGTTCTGACCTTGGGCTAAACGTACTTCACCTCGAAGGACTGGAATAATATCATGTCTGGGAAACATTCTGGGCTTCAGTGAGGGCCCACAGCTGTCCAATGATCCAACATGTTCTCCCACAGGTCAGTTGGTGTTCCCTCCTCCCGAGAGCTCCTCCAGCCAGGGCCCGGGACGTGGACCCGACCCTGTGCCTGCCTCACGGGTCCTTGTTGAGTGGGGTGTGCTGTGTGCAGCTTCCGTGCAGCGGAGAGGCCTGTAAAGGCCCTAACCCAGGCTGGGGAGCTGTCTGCTTTCTTCTTGCTTCGGGGCTCTGGTCTACCTGTGCTGCCTGTTGTGCTGTGCAGGGAGGAAATGACCTGGGCTGCTGCACTGCCTGGGCCCCCAAGCCAGCTCAGTCCTCCTCGTTCCAGCTGAGAAGATAGGCTCCATTCTCTGCTTTCTGTCCCAAATTCCGCCCCTCAGCGCTCCCAGACACT